TTACACTTCAGACAATTCCTCTAGTGCAGATAATCAAGATTAAAATACAGTTTAGACCAGTCTTGAAGTTAGAAGCAAGTTCATGGTTTTCCTTCTCAAAGACAAGTATGCTTTCTGTGTGTAGTTTATATATCTCCATAGTACATATAGCAGAGATTCAGTATAATACATCATTTTGAAAAGGATGTGGCTGCATTAAAGCAAACTTACACAGAAAACAAATTCATTTACTTACTTTCAATATCTGCAAAAATGCATTCAGGTACTTAAAAATCTTTCTCACAAAATAATCCTTGGCACCCAACCAAGCTAGTTTTCCTCATGATTGTGAAGCATTTCCATTATTTGTTCCATATTAAACGCAGAAATAGAGTCCATTAGGACTGCAGCATCACCTTAAATGTTTGGCTAGGTCACAGAAACAAGTCTCATGTAACCTCAGCTGAAGCAGTTCACACTAGACATTAGGTTGCTGTTCATTGGTCTGAATTCTTTAGCCTGTTCTCAGTCTCCTTGTTATTCAACATATTGAAACAACACTACATAAAGTGAGTACTCTTAATCTGCCTTTCAGTCCTGGTAACACAAGTTTTCTAAGTATCTCAGTCTGTCACTACCAGTTGCAAAGCATCCCTTCACAGAAGTGTGATCTGTCATGATAAAAAAAGCTGAAAGCTGATTTCATACCTCTGCTTGCTAAGTATTTGCTAAAGCAAATAAAGTTCTTTACTTAAAAAACAATTAAAACTAACTCTTTATTAACAGTTAATATTGCCTCGGTAAATTTGGTCACAGCTCTAATTTGCACACTGGCACTGAACAGTTTTATCAAGCTTCTTCATTTCATGCTTGCAATGGATCACTTTCTGATTATTTCTCTTTTACATGTATTTTCACTGGTAAGCAGTCATGAAAAGGCAATGGCAATACCCTTTAAAATCTTGATAACCAATTGAAACTCCTCCCATTGATTGACTGGCACTTTACCACTGCTGCATAAGAGGTTGTAGATCTGGACTTTGAACTTCTATTTCCTAATTCATTCATCTTTTACTCTTTTACTAACACTTACTACAACTAGAATTCACCCACACTACAATCCTTTAGCTCTTTTATTGCAGCTCTTTTCAGAAGCATTTGATTTTTATTTTTTGTTGTTTTTTTTTTTCAAGAGGATATAACTGAAAATCACTGATATTTCTGATCTGATGGAGTCAGAAAAGACAATGGATCTGAAGCAAACTCAGAACTAGCAACTTTTGGATGGTGTGTAATTCAGTGATTTGAACAAGAAAATCCATCTTAAGACTCCCTACCAAGTTCCTTCATCTGTTTTTCTACAACTGCACTTTTAAATAATAAATGATTTGTTATTTCCTGAAATTTCCAACTAGTCTTATTTATTCAAATCTTGAGAGAAAACCAAGGACATGATTTTGGGGCATATTTGTACAACTGAACACATTTTACTCCAACTAATTAGGGGCTCTAGGCTATCTGCTTATCTCACCAACCCAGAAGCAACTCAACAATATAGAAGAGAAGGCTGCATGGAGACCTCATAGCAGCCTTCCAGTATCTGAAGGGGGCCTATAGGGATGCTGAGGAGGGACTCTTCATTAGGGACTGTTGTGACAGGACAAGGGGTGACGGGTTAAAACTTAAACAGGGGAAGTTTAGATTGGATATAAGGAGGAAATTCTTTCCTGTTAGGGTAGAGAGGCACTGGAATGGGCTGCCCAGGGAGGCTGTGAATGTTCCATCCCTGGCAGTGTTCAAGACCAGGTTGGATGAAGCCTTGGATGAGATGGTTTAGTGTGAGGTGTCCCATGGCAGGGAGGTTGGAACTTGATGATCTTAAGGTCCTTTCCAACCCTAACCATTCCATGAGTCTATGATTCTAATATGCCCATATTCTGCTTAAGCCCCTTCTTCAGAGCATCATTTAGTAGTTTTATTGACAGGCTGAAACAAGTTCCCTAAAAAAACCCATTCAGGGTAAACCCACTGGTTTACTCTGTCCCAGAGGATTCCTACCAGGATGCTCTTCATCAAACCTCTTTAGAAGAAAAAAAGGAATTACTACACACTTTTCTAAAGCAGTCTGTCTTTGCTGGGCTTAATAACATCCCTACATCCTCTTGCTCTTCTTCAGAGCAGCTTCCACTTAGAAGTGAAGATGACTGACATGCTCTGACCTTTAAGGAGGCACCCCAGAAAGATAACATGGAGAAACACACCAGAAACATCTGGCATGTTTCCATTGGCAAACAATTCATTAGCATTGCTCCATACACATAAGGAAAAAAAGTACTAATGGCTAATTTCAACATAGTGGCTTTTGGGCTTCTGCTGTCTCACCCAGCCCCCTCTGGCATAGTTTCATTTCCTCAACAGAAACCATCATATTTTCAAATATGCAGATGATTAAGTCAGAATTACTATGGCAACTAATCAGCCCAACATTAATATTTTGTTGGAATGTCGCATATTTGTCTATTTTTGAGCAATTTAACTGATTTAATGAAAAATAAACTCATAAATCAGTTGGATAAATAAGTTTGGGGTTTGGTGGGTAATGGGTGTCATTAATGTAATCTGCTTTACATTCCTCTTGCCAGCTGAGTTTCTTCTGTTAACAAGCAAAATCTAAACTTATCTGAAAGCATGACTGCCACACAAATGGTCTGCACCAAAGTGACAGGCAGGCCCTGAACTTCAGACAGTTTTTTTTCTCTCTATTTTAAAGAATTTTCTGTCTTTTGCTAAAAGTAAAATATTTAAAAATAAACAGTAGAAAGTGAGAGTTAACTCAGACAATCAACACATGTCTGAGTAGAATTCAGTACTCCTAATTTAATCATGTTTCTCTTGCAATGAATACACAGAAAAAACCCTACAGTTTTTTCAGTTTTCCTCCAGGAGAAAAAGGGCAGAAGAAAGAAAAATTTCAAGCATTCAATGAAAGAAAAAACATTTTTTTAAATATATTAAATATTCTTAGTTAATTCAAAACATTTTAAGGTACACACATGGCAAAATCTGCAAAGTTTGATGGAATACTATGATCGCCAAAGCTCTATTTTTTGCTTTATTATCACTTTCTTAATTCTCATTCTTTGAGTTTATATGCATTAAGCATAGGAAACAAATCAGTGCTCGGTGCTTGTGCGCAGCAGCCCCTTGTGTAGCTAGAAGGCTTGAGACAGGTTTCATATTTTTGTCTTTGCCACATCACTCATTCTATACTTAGCAAAACTTGCATTTTTTTGTGGAACTCTATTCTTTTGTTGTTTGCCCTATGCTTTCAATTTTTTCTTTTAAGACATCAACAACACCAGGCAAGAGGGAGGCACAAAAAAACAGGAAAGAAAAACACTTTTGAAAAAATTAAGTGTCTTTCAGGTATTTCCATCTTTTGGCATACCAAGGAAATCAGGGACAAAATCCTGCTGCTTTCTTGACATGGTGATACATCTTTATTGAAAAACAAAAGGCTGAATTCACAGACACACTAATCAAGTCGAGGGTTCTCCTACAGAACTTTGCAACTACATTTTGCACAACAGGATGCCAGCGAGCATGCTGAGCAGAGTGCTCTTTAACAGGTTAGAAAGCACTATAGCCTATTAGGGTATACATTCACATTGCTCTGGATAATCTACTACATTGCTTGTATATAACTCACGCTGCTTCAAAAAAAGGCTCCTCTAGGGAAATGTTTTTGTCTTAATTTAAGTGTATACTTTGCCAGATCAGATAGGAGGGCCATTTGTGGTTTGATGCATTAGATTGAAAAAAAACTACTATGATTTTCCAGTAAAAAAATATTCAAGGCTTATACTGAACGTATTAAGGTGGAAAGACACCAGCAAAGTAAGAAGCAGCTGGTAAATGAGGACAAGTAGCAGTGTTAAAAAGAGAAACGGCGATGTTTTTCTTTTAAGAAGGACATCAGTAACTACCATAAATCCTGTATGAGTGGTAAACATGCATTTCACTGTTGACCCAGATAAGAAATAGATGTTTAAGTGTTGAAAACCAACATATGGTAAATTTTAGCAGTACTGTTTGAGCAAGTATGACTACTCATCTAACTGGCAAACTCTTCCAGAGGAGGAAACAAACAGCATTGAAAGTACAATTATTGATTACTGCATGGCAGAAGACATTACAGAGAGGCCAGAGATGGCACTCAGAACTGTCACTGGAGCCTGTGCCCTACATGGCTGGAGTACCATGCACTCCTTGCTGCATGAGGACACAAGAGGTCATTCCCCCATGCTGTGGCAGAAATGTCAACACATAAATGTACTAACCATTTCACATTTCACATTCTGCTGCTCATCTGTATCAGAGTGGCCAGACGCAATTTATCTGACTGCACATTTCAACAGATAGATAGAAAACATGACTTGACATGATATTTAGACCATGCATTTCAGGACGTTGTGGTGCAGTTACTTTAGATTTCGGAGATAGTTTGTTAGAATTTCAATAGAAAGGAAGTTTTAGTATGAGACACACATCTGACAGAGATATATCTGCTAACATTTTCACATTAACAGAGTCTTCATCTCTGTTAAAAGATATCCATTACTAAAAATGGAGTTAAATGATAAATTCCTTTGACAGCTTGACAATAAAAAAAGAAAAAATATAACCACGTAATACTTTAATGGCAACTTCACTAAAAGATCTGCTTTTGTCCAAGCAGAATTCTGTATTCACAAATCAAACACATACATGATGTTCAGACAGGATTTCTACTAAAGATAAATGACAGGAATTACACGCAGAAAGCAGAATGGAGTTTCAATTGCACGTAAGAATGAACAAATTTACCATTTCCAAAGGGCAAATACTTTTTCTGGAAATTTTGTAAGACAGTATCCACAATTTAGTCTTCAATATCTGCAGCCCCTTGAAAAGCAGATACACATTCCAAAAATATGCGTTATCAACACAAAGGTAGATATATTACTGCTGTGAGTACTCACCTCATAACTGGCAGCTGCTTCTCTATCAAGGACTTGGGTCACAGAGATATCCCCAGTGATCTCATTGATTTTAAAAATTCCTTTTGGGTCTTCATCTGCTCCCTTACCAGAGAGCCGAAACCTTACTCCCTCTCCCACTGATCTACTGACGACCTGCATGGCAGAAAACAAGAAGATACATGTCCTATTATAAAAACTTCTATAATCATTCTAAAACCATATAAGCCATTCTGATCCTTTACCTAAAATGAAGATATATTCCCTGCCAATAGTATATTAGTGTAAACTATGGTTCGTGGTAATATATAACTGTAAAATATGGTTCATAGTAATATAAACACATAACTATAAAATACAGTTTCAGTCATTCAGAAAACACTGTGCAATTCTTGTGCTAAACTCTGGAAAAGCTCCTCATGTCCTTAGCCAGTTCCTATCTTATATTTACTGTCTTCTATTTCACTATTAAAAGGTTCTATTATTCCACTGCTGCTGCGTTCACTCTGTGTTTAGAATTTGGCATTTTATTCTTTTTTTTTTCAATTAAATTAATAAAACAGCTACAAAATGACAAAAAAAAAAAAAAAAAAAAAGAGCATATTCTACTGGCATAAAGGCTTGCAATACCAGAGAGCCATCACACATTATTTTCCAATTAGTCCGTCCTTTTTATTAGCCATTGTAAAGTCATTACAAAATAGACTATTTTTATGTTGGGTTTTCCCCCTCCTGTACCCTTCTACTCTCTTCCTTTCCCAGGATTCTAAACCAAGAAAAAAATCCTCCTCATGAAAATATCTGGGTATCCTGCCCAGAACTCTGCTTAGTAATGCAGTTGGAATTCCTCCACTTTCCAAATTTATATGCATGTTTATATATACACACACATGTGTATGGAAACTCCTTGTTACTATCACTATCTTATTTCTCCATAAGAAAAAAATCCCTAAAAATCCAATTTCAAGGCTGTCTCACATTAGAGACAGTACATATGTAAACTTGCAGAGCTACACAACGTTTGTTATAAGCTACATGCTTTGCAGATTTCTATTTGTACACCAGAATCTAGAAGGATTATAAATTAATCTTGCCTTTTAAGGCTAACAATCTTGCCAAGCCATTCCTTCCATCTGCCGTTTCATGTTCTTTTGTTTCTCACAATTTTATATCGTTAATATTTCCACAGAAACATTAAGTCAAATATTTATATGCTGGTCTGAATTACAGCTCAGGAAGAGGAACAGAAAAACTGCCCTTAGAAACTTGGACCTGCTCCCATTTTGAGATAATAAATGTGCAGGGTGTTTAATAATGTCCCTAAGGAAATACATGTTGCTGCCCTATTGTGCTGGGTTCAGCAATGCTGGTTTGCAGATTACTGGGCAGTGAGGTTTTGACTAAACTCCATAATCATTATTCCTTTATTTTAATGAAGAAAAAATTGCCACAAGTTATGAAATAGGAAACCAGCATTTTCAGAGATAATGTTTAAATTCTCAAACCCTTTAGGGAAGGGAGAAATTTTACAGTAAAAACCTCTTTTTTTTTCTTCCTGCTTCCAAGTCAGAAACACTAATGGATGAAGTTTTCTCCTCATGTATTTCTGAATATATCATGTCAAAACACCAAGGCAGACAACACTTCAGGTGATGAAAGGGCAAGGTAACTCTGTAACTTCAGTTTTGTGATGAAACTGAAACTTATTAGTTCCTAATGAAAAGTTACATTCTGCTCAGTTCATTTTTTTTTTCACCAATATATGGTATTTTTCACACCAAACCTAAAAATACATGCTTTTTCTTAACATAAGGCTAGGCTTATTATTTTGTAATGTTATGACCATTGCCCATTTTTGCAGCAAGAAGATGAATTGATCATCTTCTGCCCTGATTTCTGAGACTTTTGACAAGTGTGCTTTATCCAGTGTAAGAACACAGGTTTGAAAGTCCTGAAGTCAGCCACAGGCCAGCAAAAAAAACTAATTCAGAGATGTCTATGCAACAGTCATTTCCACCAGAGCCATCAAACATTATCTGCTTGTGGAAAATTTAGGATGCTGTCTAGGTGCAATGCCCCTGTTGTAACAAGCCACAGAAAGAAAGCAAAACAAATAATGGGCTTTGCAAGGGCATTTATCTGAAAAATTCCAGATAATCACATACAGATCTTTCTCTACACTAGACAGAAAGACAGGAGTGCAATAAAACCAACAGTAATAAGGGTACCTGCAAAGCAGACTGGAGGGGAAATTTCTTGTCAACTACAAATCTGACAAAGATCTTAACCCTGAGTTTGATGGCAAGCCATCCCAAGAGATTTGTGCTCCATGGAACTACAACACATCCCATGTCTCATATGTCACCCAGACTTTAGCTGTAAACCATTCTTCAGCGTATACGGTATAGGACCAACGGAGATGCCAGAGAGCAGAGCCTTTTTCTAATTGACTGCTGAGTCCTTACAGCCTGTTTGAAACTGCAGGAAACTGTCACATTCATGGTGCAAGCATTTGCAGATCCTGCTTTCCAAAGTATTTACCCCTCTTTGCATGTAGTTATTGCACAGTGAGTTATGCTTGATATAGTAATCAGAAGCTCAGGTTAGAGATGCTCCAAGTACCACTGCATTGTCTGTTCAAGAACAGCGGTGATTGCACAGAAAGTAATTTTCAGAAAAGATTCTTTAGAGTGATTAATTAGCCACAAGAGGGAGCTACAAACTCCCAGGAATGTGAGGAAGAACATTAACATCTCCCAATTAGGATGCTTATATAGTGGCTGCGTAGTTCAAAGAAAGTGCATCTCCCAGTTCACACTAAGATCAGTACAATGAAAAGTTTAATAAAAATCAGACTTAATTTGCCATATGGTTTTGTGCTTTAACAAGAGCAAGCAAGAAAGGAGGATTGTCAGATACCTCCCCTGGCAAGACTGCTATTCTGAGCACTGCTATAAACACAGCACTGTTCATATGAAAATTTCCTAGCTTGCAATGTATTTACACAATGATAGTACCCCAATTTACTGGCTGAGAAAAAACAAAGCCAGATTATTTTTGTATGTCATTCTTTCACATTTCTAAAATATGTTAAGGACTTTCTCACAGTTATTGCTACTTGAAGCCTAGGCAGAAACACTTATTTCCAGAAATTATTCTCAGCTTTAGGAATTTCAATGCGGGTTATAACATTGAAAATATCTGCACTGTATGACAGTGGCTAGGTATTGCATATAAAGACTCTTCATTCTTAGAACATGGTCTAGTAGCACAGACCCAAGCAGCCATCTACTGAGAATAGGGATAAATCAGGCATACTTGATCTGGCCTCCTACTTCATACTTATTTATTTTTTCCCTTGTTATGATCTCACAATTCAGAAGGGCTCCTGGTTTTGCATAGACAGATGTCACAGGCGGGGTAGAAGCTAGCTGGGCAACCCACAACAATGTAGACTCTTGAAGGCTGTTTCCTCATCCAGGATCCAAAGGACAGTATGAGATGAAGACATAGACATTACTCACTTTCCCATACCTTATAACACTTTTCATGTCAGGGGCACATTGGAGAATAAATGTATTGAAAACTGAAGTGATCAATGCTAGCCTTGTCAGAGCAACATGTATAGAACCCAAGACCAACCAGGGTTTTTTTGTTGTTTCTTGGTGGGTTTTTTTCCTCAAAAAAGGCAGAAACTCTATGATTCTGTTGAACTAAAAGACACTTTCAAGAAAACAGTGGTACTTAGCTGACAGAATCTGCTTTTTTGCTGAATCATGGCTAAAACATATTTACCTAGTGCTGTTTTTCAGCTGACATTATGTATCCCTTCCAGCTAAACTCATTTCAGCAATGTGATCCCATTGCACGTTTATCACAAAAGTAAATGAGTGTTCTCAAGAGGAGATATACAAGAAGTCGCAATGTCCCCAGAGAGAGACTTCACATTTCTGCATCCCCAGCAAAACCAGCCTCAAACGTGCCATCCCAGCTTACCAGTTCCATTATTTAAGAAGTGCTCGCCTCAACAATTTCCATAACTTCTTAGTCCTTGACACCATTCGAATTAGAGATACATTATAATAATTTCACTTTTTAATTAGAAAACAAATCCCATCCTCAGACAGGAATATTTGCTTCATACGCCACTACTCTTCATTTCAGAGCATTATACTCTCTGTCTTGTGTTTCTTTGGGGCCTGGTTTTAGTGATCACCCCTCCGCACGCCTCCTAAGAAGCAAACTTATCCATGGAATAGTAAGAGGTGAACTATTTTTCTCCTTTAATCACTCTACTACACAGGAGCAAAGCTCTCATACAAGCATTTAAACAGACGCTTCCTGTCCTGCCATGCTGAAAATCAGTCTTTGCAGTCAGAGGCTCCTTCTGCTCTGTACTGACTGAAATTATCTTTCAACCAAAACAGATGCAAAATATTCCCATCATCATTCAAAAACACTAACCAACAGAAACTATTTCAGTTTCTGAAACTATAAGCTAAACATAAAAAAACTGTGATTAGAACATATATAATTTGCTGAGTTTAATAATTTATTAAATCTATTGGTTCTCAATACCTCTAGCTGCACTTTTTACAAGTGCACCTTTCTATCCAATAAAAGAACAGTTGGTTTGAAAGGCCTGAAGTCAGCCTCAGGCCAGCAGAAATATTGCATTAGAGAGAAATCTGACTCTGACAGACAATGTTAAATGAAGAACATCCAGGTGATTTTTTCACATAGCTAACAGTAACAGAAATTATAAAGCTCTTGTAAGTGACTATGTCCTTTGGTCATCTTAATTAGGGATAAAACCAAACACATTACATATAACAATACATATTTTAGGTGACACTGTACCTCTGCACATGGCAGGGGGTTGGAACTAGATGATCTCTAATGTTCCTTCTAACTCAAATCATTCCATGATTCTATGGCTGTTCACAAACATAATAAGACTTGCTATTAGCTCCATTTTCTTACCAATCAACACACATCTGGACAAATGCTCATTCAGTATGTTTTCCAAAACACAAGCTAAGTTAATGGAGACAAGTATGAATAATATTTGCAAAATTTGGTTAAACAACAGAACTTCAGCAGTTACTTATGCAATACAATCATGTAGGCAATATCACAGTCCTAAATTTAAAAAC